CACTTCTGCGTACATTATCTCATTGAATTCAGGACACAACCCATTTGACAGGAAACGAGCTCAGAGAAGTGCAGTAACTTTCCAGGTCACATAGGTCCTAGATCTTGGAGTCCCGTATTTCCCCACTACTTCTTGCAGCTCCCAAACTCATTGTCAGTGTCCCTCAGTTTCAGTATGAGGTGGGAGCAGGAATGACAAGCATGGGCAAGAGGGATCAGCTCTGCCAGGGGTGAGAGGATGATGAGGGGGGAGTGGGGACAGGATTATGTAAACCAAATTTCAAAGGGTGCGGCAAAAGGAGCAGTCACCCTCTGAGTGACTGTGTTGTCCTCCTTCACTGACCTGTAAGCTTTTTTCGTTTAAGGACTGTATGCCCAAAACGAGCTTCCTAGGGTCCTTACAGTGGTAGAGCAAATTTTTTTCAATTTTTAAAATTATAAAATGTTTAAGTACATAGAAAAAGTTAAAGACTAAAATGAACACCCATTGACCACCTAGATTAACAATCGGAATAAATAATGTGTATAACACATTATAGCTTATAAAGCCTCTTGCTTAAGTTACCATATTGCAAATGAAGCCCCCATCGGTGGGCTGGTTGGGGACCTATTCGGATCTCATTACTGCACCACCTCAGCAGGTCACAGTCACCCACTGAACCCCACTTTGGAAAGCTGGCTTCCTCTTCTTGGTTTTCATCCTGCTCAGGATATTGTAGGTTGCCCCAGAAATCAGTTTGCCCTCAGCACAGTCACAAGCGTGTTTCTCATTGGTAGATTCCTTGCCTGAAATTTACTTGGAACTTGAAGGGTTAGCCCCTCAGAGTCTCAGATTTCTTCCTTAAAGTTCAATACACTGGAGGCAAGGGAGAATTCATGTCACAATGGGATCCGTTATTCTCCACTCCAGCTTAACACAGGAACTCTTCCATGATCTTCCCAGCAGTTCTTTCCATTTTCTCAATAGCAGGTATGTATCATATTTAAATACTACTTTAGAGACATCTTTTATCATGATGGTTGGGGGGACAGGAGTGATAGCACTTTAGAGGCTAAGGTAATTATAAAATACTTTTTAAAAACTGTCTTTTTCTTATTATAAAAAGTAATACATATTGACTTAAAAATAACAAAATGATGCAAAGATGAATGTAATAGTGTTGCTGGCCAGGGTCTGGGCCAGGAGAAGGTCTATGTTGGGCCCACCAGTAGTGTGTGGGTCTTGATTTTGTGTAGGAAATATTTCACAACATGAGTCCAGGTGGTTTTCAAAGTATGTTCATTAAAGCTGGGGACAGTGAAACAAAGGAAGAACTTAAGGTAAAAAAAAAAAAAAAAAAAAAAAGCAGCAGGAAAGAGCCTAGGCAAGGCTGCTTTGGCTCACTAAGAAATAAAAGTCATAGTGACAGAAGTGAGCTCCCTGGCAAGTCAGAGACAAAGAGAGCCTTAGAGACAGGTTCAGGATGAGCTGCTGCTGCCTGCTGTTCCTCTGATTGCAAGTCTCGTGGGGTCACTTAGAGTTTAGGAAAAAACAACAGAGATATGAGGCATGTATGAGAGAGTACACCGTGTGTCCTTTGTTTTGAGACTTTTCTTCTTTGGCTGGTTGGAATCCTAGGGGAGGTCTAGGGTCTTAACAGAATATTCATTAGCTTTTCAGGTGTGTCCTTCAATATGTTAACTCATCAAAATGTGCATATAGAGGGGTCAGGGGTTATTTTCTGGTTAGTTTCATTTTTAAAAAACATTATTAAGAACATCATTGAAGAGGGACTGGGACCTAGGCTGTTCTGTCCCAGGACAGTCTGGAATGTGTAAAACATTTGCTCCTAAGAGTCCTTCGTTAGGGGAGATAAAATTTTGTGATTCATTAGCTGACTGTAAATTGCTCATATCCTGTGGCCTTAATTATTTTGTCGCAGTTTCTCTTATTCCATTTGTCAAGGAATTTCCCTAGATTCTTACTATCCTGTCACAGTAGAAAGTGAAGCCTCTGATGACCAGGAATGGAGTAAAGACTGGAGTGTCTCAGTTGTGCATTACTTAGGAATAAAAGGAGAGTCTGGACCCTATGCAGCAGCTGCATTGGATTTAGACTTAACACATTGTCCCTAAAAAGGGCACACATAAGTCACAGAGGTATATGAAATAAGAGTGCAACACTCCACTCAAATTGTTAAGTCAAAGATGTAAAATGTACCCCAAGAGCTATAATCATATTTTCACATTTCTTCATTATAAAAACTCACTAGAGCCTAAAAAAATATAAGCTTAATGAGCCTCTCTTGACCTAGAAAGTCCTCAGTGACATCAAAACATCACTTTTCAAGAAGTCCCTTCCTCAGAAAGGCCCATTGCAGAAGATGTCACTAAAATTGCAAAAGAGAGTGGAAAGCCCAGCTTCATATCCAGCTCTGTCATAGGTGATTTAGTCTCAGCTTAGAGGAGTTTCCTGGCCAGTCAAGACAGGATCACAGACCAAAGAAACACAAAGGACTCTGTAATCGTATCATTTCATCATTTTTGCGTCAGCAGTGGGAGGTTACCACTTTCCATAATCTTGTACTGGCCCTGGTCCTAGAGACACCCCAGTCAACACGCTTCTGACCAACCGAAGAATTTCACAATCTGACATTTGCACCAGAAATGCGCATTTGGGTTAATCCGTTTTTTAGGGAAAATGTTGGGTTGGGGGTTATCTTTTCATCAGGCTCCAGAGAATAGGATGTTGTCAGCTGTTAAACCAAAAGCACTAAATACTCTATAAAATACAAAGCCCATGAGTCAATTGGACAATGCGATAAATTCAGTCAACCAGAACTCATTGAAGCCGTGATCTCAAGCTGATCACACACAGGGTTGTTTGTTCAGCCAGGCATCAAAATGTTGTCACTGACCTGTGGGAGTGGTCAGTAAGGCTCATTTTGAGCTTCACTGGTCAGCTAAAAAGGTGACATCCATACTTAGAGATGCACAGGTAAAAAAAAAATTCATACAGGAGACAACATTGCAAAGTGACTAAAAGAGTGGGTTTGAATCCTGGCTGTAGGCAAGTCACTAAGCCACTAATTCTGTCTGTAAATGGGGTGGTGAATCCTGCCGTGAAGGGGAGCTGCAGACACTCTGGGAGGGAATGGATATAAACCAAGCTGCACCTGGCACAGAGTGAGCACCGTTAGAAGGTAACTACGTTACCAGCAAAACATCTGTAAACCAAAAATGTCATGAGAAAGACAAAGGTTAAACCAGAATATGGATTGTATGTCATAATCTAAGTGACAGAAATATCACCATTTTTCAACCACCATTGTAGCAAATTATTTAAAAAAAGGTCATCAATGAATGCTAAAACCACGGGGTGAAAGATGGTGGGAGAACCAGACATTTCTGCACGATGAGGTTACTAATTAATTACAAAGAAAAATATCCCTTTATAATGGAGAGACCGCAAGGATGCCTGAACCCTCAGTCTAATAATAAGGAAACAGTCACACAAATCTAAATTGAGAAAAATTCTATTTGGAATAGGCTTTTCAAAAAACATAAATGTCTTGAAAGAATAAAAACAGAGCAGGGAAGTGGGGAAGTGTTCTAGATAAAAGGACACTATAAAGACATGACCAACTAAAAGCAATGCCTGATCTCTGATTGGGCCCCAGATTTAAAAAAACAAACAAACAAAAACAAAACTGTCAAGGGCATTTTCAAGACAATTGAGGAACCTTTATTTAACAATGTTACATTTCCTGAGTGTAATGACTGTATTCTGATTATTTGAAATAATATACTTGTATCCTTGTTCTTAGTATTTAGGATATCTAGAGTATTTGGAGTGCTACCTGATAACGTTTTTAATTCATTATCAAATGGTTAAAAAAAAAGTGGTGCATGAATATAAGAAAGGTGGGGGGAGAGAGAGAGAAGAAGAGAATATCACCAAATACTATAAAATGTAAACAGTTTGTGCATCCAAGTAAAGGCTTTCTATGTGTTCATTGTACTTATGCTCTCAACTTTTCTGTAGGTTTGAAATTTTGAAAATTTTCAAAACAAAAAGCTGGGGATAAAAATCAGGTTATGCAGAAAGACAGAAGCAGTTAACTGAGGAAGAGGTCAGCTCATCACACATACAACTGCCATGAGCGCCCCTGGGACCCACAATGGGCTGTGAGTTCCAAAGGACACCTATTCCTTTTTTCACCTTGTTTCTCGAGCCTCCTGACAGGGTGTTCAGAAGATGTGTCCTGTGAATGTGCATAGAGGAGTGTTCTCTCACTTGGACATGGTCCCGGGAAGCCAGAGCAGTCAGCCCTGGGAACAAGCAAATGAGGACGTTGGTCCTGAGCGTGGCACTATGAGGCCCTCATGTTGCCGGTGGTACCGACAATTGGAATTGCACCCACAGGGGTGACGCTAGGGCTTGCCTCCTGACAGGGCCCTCAGGCCTTGCCTGCCTTATTGGGCAGAGAACCTCAAAGCTTGCAGGACTGTATTTGCTGCTCCCTATTCCCTCAACTATTGGCTCTGGATGGTCAATAAAACCCAAGAGTCTGGAAAACAGTTGGCCAGAGGGGCTGACCCTCATCATGGTCCTTTCCAGCATGGGACCAGGGACTCTGTTCCCATCCCTGAATCCTTAAAGTAGGAAAGAAGGAAGCATGTGAGTGCCTGCCCAAGGATCCAGAGACTGGAATCCAATCCCAGATGCTCCCTCACAGACTTACTCACAGCTCTACACTCTAGCCCTTGGAGATGAGATCTGGGGCACTGGAGGACCACATGTGTGACAGGCATTGAGCCCTCCCAGCTGGAAAAGCATCTGAATCTAGGAGAAAGAGAACACAAGCCACCAGTGACCTCTTATAGTCTCAGTTCCCATCAGAGCGCAAGGTATTTCCTGTGCCTTTTCCGTTATTTCACAAGTTCTTCTCACCCTCTGGGCTCCAAGACAAAGGGCCTTTTCTCCTCCCAGAAGCCAGACAGCTGGCTCCAGCCTCTCCTGGTCAACACCATGGCCAAGACCCCCAGTGACTATCTGTTACACTCCCTGGAGGAGCTGGTGCCCTATGACTTTGAGAAGTTCAAGTTCAAGCTGCAAAACACCAGTATGGAGAAGGAGCATCCTCGGATACCCCGAGGCCAGCTCCAGACAGCCAGACCAGTGAAGCTGGCCACTCTGCTGCTCACCCACTATGGGGAGAAGTGTGCCGTGCAGCTGACACTGCAGGTCCTGAGGGCCATCAACCAGAACCTCTTGGCAGAGGAGCTCCACAGGGCAATTGGCCCAGGTAAGCAGACCCCATGTCCCTTCCTCTGCTAGCTGTTCTTAAGGTGGAGTGTAATGTGCAAGAATGAGCACTCTATAACTTAGGGGCTAGGATTCCCAGGTCTGCCATGGCACTAGTAACTTTGTCAAGCAAGGCCCTTTTTCTGCTCTGGTCTTTGGAGCTGGATTAGTAAAACTAAGGCTCCCAATGGCTTAAAAAGGACAGCAGCAGGGAGTGGGCAGCTGGGATTATGACTCAGGGAAGGATCAGGAGACTCAGGAGCGAGGTGCCTGCTCTCAAAGAATTCCTCATGGTGTTATCAACACCTGTGCACAGACAAGTATCTAGGTGAGCAGAAATGGCTTGCTAACTATCATATTAACAGAGTTTATAGGTGATCTTTTCATTGTTAACCATCTAATTTCAGTTTTGAGTTCTCCGTTAACACATTTTACAAAAGCATTTTAAAATTGTCAAGAGGACTTTCTCCTTTTTCTTCTCTTCCCCTTTCTCTCTTTCCTCCTTCGCTCCCTCCCTGCCTTCCTTTTTTTCCTCTTTCTCTTCTCTCTCTCCTTTTGCTTCCCCTTCTTCTAGTTGTTCTGCTACCCTTTTGCTATACTTTCCAATTTTGTTATATTATAATCAAATAATGTGGCCTATTTGATTTCTGCTTTTAAAGACTTTTTAACGATTTGGAGGCAGCTAACAAATGGTTAGTTTTTTAAAATATTCTTTGGTGTTTGAATTTTTCTCTGATTTCTACATTTTAAGAATACATTAGGAATGCTTTTCATGTGTTTCTATGTGGGAAAAGTTTAAATAACATAAAAATTCTCTGCTCTTTGAACGAATGATAGAATTAAACCAACTGTAATCTGAATCTGGATTAATTTGATAAATAGAATTTTTAAATAACTTTTTCATGTTTTTAAATCTGGTTATTAGCATCGTCAGGGTTTCTCACCAGTTCTTAAGCCAGCTTTTGTAAATTACGTTTTCTTACAAAGCCAACAGCAAAGTGTTTTAAACAATTTAAAATAATTTATTAAGAGTTTCCTCAAACCAAATATTAAAGTGCTAATTACAGGTTACCTTCATTTCTTTATTATAGTAGTAGTAGTTTTCAAATTATATCCCAGGATGAAATTTCAGGGATTATTTTGAATATTAGCAAATACTTGATTCAAAGTTTAATTTTTTTAACTTAAAAAACCCTACAAATTCATATTAAAGTGTATCAGTAACCAAATTTTAAAATACTGAAGACTACCAGTGTGATAGCTCATGCTTGAACTCCTTTTTATGTAAATCTTGGAATTAAGCCTTTTCTGTCATTTCTTTTTTATTAAACAGTATCCTGAAATTTGAAGGCAAGCTGTTTTGTAAAAAAAATTACCATTTATACTCACTTATCTGTGTGAGTTAGGATTTTCTTCACCTCATGAAACCAAAGGGGAAAACAGAAATAAATTACTTTCTGAAATTTTAACTGTCCTTCATAACCTGATTTCAAATTTTTACGCCAAGCACCTTAATTCTTTTTTTCAAGTTTTACTGAGAAATAATTGACATACATTACTGTGTAAGTTTAATCATACATACAGCATGATGGTTTGATTTACATATGTTGTGCAATGATTACCACATAGTTTCAGCTAACACCCTTTTTCTCATACAGTAAATGGGAACTCTTAGAATTTGCTCTCTTAACAACTTTCCAATATATCATACAACAGTGTGGAAATTCTCCTCACCCTAATTATCTGGGGACAATGCCACCTAGCACCCTCTCCAAATGAAATTACTCTCTTGAGGTTTTTTGGACTACATGAATAATGTGAATTTGAGCAGAGGCCTACAAGAGAGCACTTGTGTTTACAAATCTTCAGGATTTTCCTTCTCTACTATATCTAATGTCAAGATCTACAGGTACACATTCTTTCTGTCCTCTTCTGTATGGAAGGTTTTCTTTTTTTTCATTTAAAACCCTTAAATATGGATTTTCAAACATACTCAGGGGTAGAGAGTTCTATACGCCTCTTTTGTACCCATCACCCACTTCAGTGATTATCACTATTTCGCCATTCTGAATACAGCTATTCTTCCCCTTGCTTACTATTGTAATTGAGGTTTGTTTTTCTGATAAATTTATTTATTTATTTTTAACTGAAGTAGCAGTGGTTGCTAATGTTTCAAGCGTACATTATAATTCAATATCCGTATGCACTACAGCTTGCTCACCACCAAAAGTCTAGTTTATGCTTGTTAATTCTTTATTAATTGATTTTATAAGTGAATTATTTATTTATTGATTTTATAATCACACACAAATTTATACCAAAAACTAGGGTTTTATTTACTTTATGTATGAAGAACTCTGTTTTTTGGAATTCTTATATTGGAAATAAATTCTCCTGCCTAGAAAGTTTGAAAGCACTATATGAAAAATATATAGCAAATAGTATGCTTTCATTTAATGGCAATTGACTACTATTGTTTAGAATGCTTGGAATTGTTCTAATTTCTGAGAGGGTTCTGTCCTCTCTCTTCCCCCAGTCCTTGGCCCTGAGCACCTAACATTTTCATGCCTTTACATCTCCTTGTCTTTTCAGAATATCCGATACAAGAAAGTGGAACTGACTGTTCGGCAATGTCTTGTTCATCTGGTGAGAATAAGCTCAAAAACCTGAGGATACCAGATGGCCTGGAAGGTGACAGGCAGCAGCAAGGTGGTGATGGGGCAGCTAGCCAGCCAGAGGCCGGGAAGGGGCCCCAGAAGAAGCCTCAGGGCAAACGGAGAGACCAGAAGGGCTCAGAGGGCCTGGATGTTCAGGGCAAGACAGGCACCAGGGGTATGGTTCTGTCTTCCAGGAGAGGTCCACTCCCAGGCAAGCCGCAAAGGGAGAAGGGGAACAATTCGAGTGTCAGGCTACGCAGAAATGCCAGCTCTGCAGGAAGACTCCAAGGACTCTCCAGTGGGTCACTTTCTGGGTCTCCAGGGAGGAAAGAATGCAAGATATCTGAAGCATATGTACCTTCAGAACAGAATCGACCCAAAAGTCTTCAATTTACTATTTCTTCAGGAGAGAGAGAACTGCCCAATCCAGAAACTCTTCTGCTTCAAGATAAAATGAGAAGTGAGAATCCTGATTCAGCAATTACTGCCCACAAAGTGGCCACTCTGGATGTAGGGGCTACTGTAGCTCTGGAGAAAGGCTCAGGAAATCCAGAACATTCTGTGATCCTGGATGGGGAAGCACCCAGGAATATGCTTTCCAATATATCATTGGCTGGAAAGGAGAAGACCTGGGAGCATCCAGAATCCACAAGAATTCTGGAGAAAAATAAAAGTGAGGGTCCAGAGACCCCTAGGACCTTAGGAGAGGTGGTAGATGGTGTGTTCCATGAGCTTTCAACCCCAGAAGTCGTTGCATCTTCAGGTAAGAAAGGACCCCAGAATCCAGAAGACCTGGTATCCTTAGGAATGGTGACCTGTGCAGGTATTCCTCCACAAACCTTCTTTTATCCACATTGCATTTTGGGTGCCCTCTGAAGTCCCCAACCCTTTGAGAATCTGTTGGAGGCTGTGAATCCTGAAAAAAACCTATATATACATACCTTCACAAAATGTTGCCTTAAATTTCAGTTAGTAATTTCTTACACACTCTGAAGTCCTGCTTTAGAAATCCAAGGACTTCATGGGACCCCAGGCTGAGCACCAGGGAAAGACTGGGTAAAAATATCCCCTTTTCTCAATAACCCTATGGCCATATGTCATGGGGCCGAGAATCTGCCATTTGCCTCTCAGGGAGAAGAGCTGTTGGCCAAAACCCTAGATCTCTTTTATACTAAGAAGGCAGAAATTACGATTATGTTGGGTTTTGAATGACATAGTAACAGTAAATGAGTAGCCTGGGTGGTTTTAAGTGGTAAAGCAAACACTGGCCAAAATGTCTGTCTTTTTATCACCTGTTAGATCAGTGTATGTGTGAGAAGAAGGCATAGAATTTATAGCAAAAGGCCTTTCTTCAATGTAAGAATTCCAGGCCTCAGGACTGTCATCAGATCTAGCCCTTGGCTCTCAGTACCAGGGACTTGTCTGTTGCCTTGCTGGAGTGAAACTGGAGGACAATCTAGGAAGTGGCCACAGTCTAAAAGAGAACCCACGTGACCTAAACATGGGCTCTTTCTCTCCTGTGCTTTTGCATTACCCTTTTGTAACATCTTGGGTTTGTCACTCAGGAGATGTTCCCACTGTTCCATCCTAGGGAGACTGCAGAATGAAGCTGTGTGTCCCGTCTGCCGTGCCCAGCAAGGAGACCCAGTTGGTGGCACTTGTGTGCACAATTCCTGCAGCTGCTCCATTGATTCTAGGGATCCTAAGACCCCGGGTGGTTGCTTGCCCAGCTGCCCCAGGTGCCAGGCCTCACTCCCAGTGAAGAGCTCTGGAGGCCTTGAGAAACAGGAGGGCCTACAGACGGCCAGCCTGAACCCCAAGCCCCTGCCGCAATGTGCGCGTCACATGAAGCAGGTACAGTTGCTCTTCTGCGAGGACCACAGGGAACCTATCTGCCTCATCTGCAGCCTGAGTCAGGAGCACCGAGGCCACCAGATACGCCCCATCGAGGAAGCTGCCCTGGAATACAAGGTAGGGCTTCTTGCCTGGGGCCTCTCTCTGCTGAGCACTTGGACATGCAGGGGCTTGCTTCATTTTCCTCATAACCCTAGGAGTTTGGTGCATTAGTCCCCATCCTTGAGCCAAATGGCAAAAACACAACACAAACCAGGATAGCAAAGGGAGGATTTATCACTTTTGTGTAGCTCAGAGGTCCAAGGGCTTCACTTCAGGTATGGCTGAATCCAAATGCTCACAAGGTCATTATGAATTTCTTTTTCTTGTTTCTGCTTCCCTTGGTGCAATGGATTCATTCTCTTTTCTGGGCACCCCTCCATTTGCTCTTGGCTGCAACACCCTCTGCTTTACACCCCAAAGCAGATTTTTCCCTCTAGATTTGGCACCAACTAAACATGGCAGGAGACAAGTTTAAGCTTCAACAAGTACTCTTTGTCCAGGAGCAAATTCAGAAGCAGCTGAAGCATCTGAAGCAGCTGAGAAAATCTGGAGAGGAGCAGAGATCACAGGGGGAAAAGAACACAGCAAACTACCTGGTAAGGTCAAGCATGTTCTATGGCAAGTCTTTACCCAGGTTCACCCCTGCAGAAGGAGGGAGGGGACAGAGCATAAACAGGGGTCCCCGAGGTTCTGTTCTTGTTCATAGGAAAGCAGAGCTGATCATACATTTAGAATTACCTGCTCTTACGAGGCAGGGGGCAAGGAAGTAACAGGTGTTCAAGGATGAGCTTGTCCCTGGAGAAGGGGATCAACCACCACAGGGAGGGGTATCTCCAAGGATGCTGTCACACTTTCTCATACTCACCATAAAATGGTTTAGAGAAATTAATGCCAATGGCTATGGCTGAGGGATGGGATTAAGGGAAAGGAAGGAGAGACTTTTCAACTTTGAATACTCTTCTTTATTGCTTTTATCATGGTTGTTGTCCTTTTTTTTTTTTTTTTTACAAAAACCATATTGATTTTTCAAATTCAAATAGTTAAAGTACACATTTTCTTTAAAACCACAGTTTTGCAACGCCATAAATTATTGGCCTTCCTCTGTGGGGCTGGTGTGCAGCCTCTTTCTTGGATGCATAAATTGCTTCCATTTTACCTGCAAGTGAAGGCACCTACCCCACAGAGCCGTGATTTATCTGATTCATTTCTGTTGGTTGGATCCCATCTCCTCCTCTGTGTCCCAAACTACTGTTGGGACCCATCACATCACAATGGGAAACAGGTAAAGAGGTTACAGCAGCATGGGCCCCCATGAAAACAAGATGCCGTTTTCAGAACTTCTCTTTTTTCCAATAATAAAAAAGAAATGTTTTAATCATAAGGGGAAAAGAAAGCTCTTCTTTATAGCATCATGCCAGCTAAAGCAAGTATAGAAGAATAGCTGAATTAGAAATTTTCATTATACAACTATCAATATAACAATTGACACCAACAGGAATCATCGATGAATGCTAAAATTTTTAGAAGATCATTAAAGTACAGGATATTTACTCACATTCAAAGTACACTCCCCAAATTACTTAAAACTATAAAGGAAATCACGTATATTTATAGTGGAGAGATCTGGTAGACACCTCCTTAATCAAGTGACCAATCCTAATATTGCAATAATGGTAATGGACAAACTAGACATTCTTTGCCTCCCCATGAGATGTGCTAGGAAGACCACAGCATTAAATATGTGGTACTCTGGCTAACAATGCTTAGCCTGAATTTAATAAGCAAAATTATCAGACAATTTTAGAATATAGGCTACTGAACGAGACAACTGACCTGTCCTTTAAAAAAAAATTCAATGTTACTCCCATCAGTAACATCAAAGGGTGAGGAGGCATTTTTGGTTTAAAGAACTAGTTAATCCTGTCCTTTTGAGCCAAAAATGATGAGACTTCTTAAGTCCAGTCTTAGCGGATCTGAAGGGCCCTCACCCTCCTTTGCAGAAGCTTCTATGGTGCTCTAGAACCACTTCACCTCTCCATAGAAGCTTCCTAGTGACGATGAGAAACAAGGTGATAGAGCTACTGGTTGACCAGAGTGCCATGGTAGTGGAAGTCAAGTTCACTTACATTCAAATAAATGGACTGACTATCCCATTCAGAGCCCTATTGAGACCTTTCTGCATGCCATCACTTGGGGCAGGGGACAGGGAGTGAAGTTTCCCTTCTGGAGAGCTTGTGGTCATAATCTTGTCCACTTATGACCCTGAGTATATGCCATCCTCGCACTAGCTTTCAAGAAAGGAAGAAGGTGATATGTATCTTAGTGTTCTGTGGCTGCTGTAACAAAACACCACCAACTGGGTGGCTTAAACCACAGAAATTTACTCTCTTGCAGTTCTGGAGGCTAGAAGTCCAAAATCAAGATCTTGGCAGGGTTGGTGCTTTCTGAGGGCACTAAGGGAAGGACATGTTCCAGGCCTCTCTCCTCAACTTGTAGCTGTCTGTGTCCTCCCTGTGTCTCTTCATATGGTATTCTCCTTGTGTGTGTGTCTGTTGTCCAGACTTATCCATTCCACTGGCCTACCCCACTCCAGTATGACCTCATCTTAACTAATTGCATCTGCAAAAACCTTGCTTCCGAATAAGATTATATTCTCAGGTACTAGAGGTTAGAAATTTAATATATGAATTTAGAGAAAACACAATTTAACCTGTAACAGGTTTTAGGGCATTTTCCAAGAGCCAGTCCCTTTCACCCTCAGTCTGTTGTGGAAGGTTCTGGTTCATTTTGCCTCCTGCTCTGGAATTCAGGCCTCTAAGAGGCTGAGGGAGCCTGCCTCTTATCCACCTCCAGGAGGTGGGCTTCTGGGGATTCCTTGGGCACACATCTACCCTACTGCACAGACCCCTATACCTCCCTGTTCCCTGTTCCCAGAAACAAATGGAAGCCCAGAAGCAGAGAGTCAAATACCAGCTGGAGAAGCTGTCCCGGTTTCTGGAGCAGCAAGAGCAGCTCTTTGTGGTCTGGCTGGAGGAGCTGGGCCAGACCATTGGCAAGGTCAGGGAGACATATGACACCCAAGTGTCCAGGGACATTGCCCTTCTCAACAAGCTGATTGAGGAACTGGAGGCCAAGCAGAGCCAGCCGGAATGGGAGCTTATTCAGGTGAGTGTGACTGGACCTGGCCTTGCCCTCCACACTGTCCCCAGTAGGATGACATGGGCTTCCAGCACTGACATCAGCTTTGTCCAGGTCCTTGGGGCCAACAGTGGGACTTGGTCTTGGTGAGCTGCAATGCTTCTTGTGACCACACCCATTTGATAAGCTTTTAGGAGCTCAGAGTGGCCCAGAATCCAGGGGTTCGCCTGGCATCTCCCAGAAGAGATCAGCAGGGCTTGGGGGCAGTTATGTTGCAGGCCACAGCTGGGCTGCCACCTCGGGGAATTAGGATTAGAATTGGGAGAGGTGCTCCAGTTTTGCTGATGCCCTGGAGCCAGGAAGAGAGGCCAGTAGTCAGTGCATCCACTAGGAGACTGGTAAAGGAGATCTTCCCTCTTTTCTCTCCTAGGACATCGGAGTCACCCTGCAAAGGTATGGAGAGGTCCCCTGGTGATCCCTTGGGTATCCTGCAGGAAGCATTTTGTGAGGTAGTCCTAGAATGGAGATGTTCCCAACCCTGGGTTTGGGACTCCTCCCTCAGCTCCTCCCATTTCCTGTGGCTACCTAAGGCCTTTCTGGATTTGTGTAGGGAAAACAGGAGTGTCATCAGAAGGGAGAACATGGGCTTGAAGACTGGAAAGAATGAACACAGCCTGCTGTACTGATGGTGGCTTCCTAAGAAACCTTCCTAATAGATTGTGTCCTATGCAATTCACCTCATGAAAACTGTTCCTGCAGAGTGCTTGTGGCCTCAGGGAGGGAACCACTTTCCAGAAGTGGAGCTGCTAAGCCCAGGAGGCAGGGGAGGCGATTAGGGGGAGGAGGCTGAACATTACAATCACCTCAGGAGCTTTACAAAATACTGACATCCAGGTCCTGGAAGATGAATTAAAGCTGAATCTTCAGGAGTACAACCAAGAAATCAATTTTTAAGTCTTTTTTGTTGTTGTTGTTGTAAAATACACAAAAAATTCACCATTTTAACCATTTTTAAATGTACACTCAGTGGCATTAAGTACATTCACATTATTATACAACCATCACCTCCACCCATCCCCAGAACTTTTTCATCTTCCCAAATGGAAATTCCATTAAACAACTCTCATTCCTCCCACCCTGAACCCCTGGCAACCACCAGTCTACTTTCTGTCTTTATGAATTTGACTATTCTACCTCCCTCATATAAGTGGAATCATAAAATATTTGTACTTTTGTGTTTGGCTTATTTCATGTAGCATAATGTTTTCAAGGTTCATCCATGCTGTAGCATGTGTCAGAATTTCATTCCTTTTTAAGACTAAATAATATTCCATTGCATGTATACATCAAATTTTGTTTATCCATCCTTCCATCAAGGGACAATTAGATTGCTTCCACCTTTTGGCTATTGTGAATAATGCTGCTATGGATACCCATATGCATATATCTGTTTGAGTCTCTGCTTTCAATTCTTTGGGGTATATACCCAGAAGTGGAATTTTTCTATCATATGCTAATTATATGTTTAGTTGGTTTTTTTGAGAAACTACCATAGTATTTCCCAGAGTGTTTGCACCATTTTACATTCCCACCAGCAATGCTTAAGGGTTCAAATCTCTCTACATCCTTGTTAACACTTTTTTTTTATTTGATTGATTTCAGAGAGAGAGAGGAAGGAGAAACATAGATTTGTTCCACTTGCTTATGCATTCATTTGTTGATTCTTGAATGTACCCTGACTAGGGATTGAACCCCCAATCTTGGGATATTGGGATGATGCTCTAACCAACTGAGCTACATGACCAGGGCTCTTTTTTCTAAACAATAGCCATCCAAATGGGTGTCTCATTGAACTTTTTCCTGATCAATTATCATTTTATTTCAATAGAAAGAAAAAGACTAGAGAAGTGTAATTAATTTGACAGATAATTCTGGGCTGAGCATTTCAATATTGGAAGCATTTTAAGGCCATTATTGAAACTCATTGTGGAGTTAATATCAGTGGTTTTTAAAACTCCCCACGTGATGCAAATCCATGGCCAAAGTTGAGGACCAGTGTCTAGAACTTGAAGTCCAGGGAGGACTTTCTTTGTGAAGCCCACCCTGTGGAGATTGCACCTCCCTTCCATTTTATGAGGGCTTGGGCCACTCCCATGCTCCAGCCGTCTCTGGACAAGTTTTTGTTTCTAGGGCCAAGACAGTGACTATCCCTAAGCCATGGACCACCCCATTAGAGGTAAAAGAAAAGATCCACCTGATCCACCAGAAATCGGAGTTTGTGGAGAAGAGCATAAAGTATTTTTCAGGTAGGTGGGCTTGGGGAAAGATAGGAGGTGCCCACTCACTTCCTCCCTGAGATCCATGTATCCCAGAGCCCCTGGGCATCCCTTCTCCACCTCTCACAGCCTTCTGACTCTGCCTTCAGCCTCCCCCTGATCTTTCCCTAGTTCAGGAACTTAACTCTAGTTCCCTTTCTCCTTTAGAAACCCTGCGTTTGGAAATGGAAACCTTCAATGGTAAGTATGGTGGTGGTAATATGTGCTGAGCGGGAGTAATTGTGATATTCCCTTATACTGTTGATTTCTGGGCATTATTTAGAAGAGAGAAAAACACCTGTAACAAAGGCAAGAGAAAGGTCATAACAAGCCCTCACAGGCTCTGTGCAAGATTCCTTTAGGGGGGGCCAACTCATCAGACCACAGTCTCCAAGGCAGGCCCAGGTGCCTCGGAGGAATGGGGTTATAACCAAGCACAGAAACCAGGGTCCTGAACATGGGTGTCCTTGTCTTGTTGTGAGAACCAACAACAGATTTAACCCTTAAAATGGGAATGCTCAGGATTCCCCCCACCACCATCTCCTTTTTCTCTGTAGTTCCAGAACTGATTGGTGCTCAGGCACATGCTGGTAAGTGCCCAGATCAAGGTGAGGAGTCTTGGCCTGATGGGTCCCTGTGCTGTCCCTGTGTCCCAGAAGAACAGCCCTGTCCATGTTTCCTGGAGGTGGGGAGAACCTGTGGGGATGTTGTCCATGGACACCCAGCTAGGTATTCTAATTATCTCTGCAGTTAATGTGATTCTGGATGCAGAAACTGCCCACCCCAACCTCATCATCTCTGATGACCTGAAGAGTGTTAGACTTGGAAACAAGTGGAACAATATGCCTAACAGTCCAGAAAGATTTGATAGCTGCATCATCGCCCTGGGCTCTCCAAGTTTCATCTCTGGACGCCATTACTGGGAAGTGGAGGTGGGAGACAAGACAGGGTGGGTCCTAGGCCTCTGCAAGACATCCATAAGCAGAAAGGGGAGCATGACTCTATCACCGGAGAATGGCTACTGGGTGGTGATGAAGATGAAGCAACATGAGTACCAGGTGTCCACCTTTCCCCCAACCCGCCTGCGGATGAGGGAGCCCCCCAGGCATGTGGGCATCTTCCTGGACTACATGGCTAGATATATTTCCTTTTACAATGTGACAGCCAAATCTCACATCTACACATTCACCATCTCTTTCTCTGGGCCACTTCAACCTATCTTCAGCCCTGGGACTCATGATGGAGGGAAGAACATGGATCCTCTCACCATCTGTCCAGTGGGTGGCCAGGTGCCTCACTGAATGCCCTACACTCTTCATCTCTCTTCAAACTCCCAGCTTGTATCTTGAATTCATGCACTCAACAGTTATTGTATTTATACTGGGTTCTGGGTGCTTTGGGAAACAACAAATCAGAGAATAGTCCATGTACCCTAGGAGCTTATGGAGTAGCAGTAGAAGTAAGCTATGTACTCAAATAATGGTAAACCAAGGGTGAAAAAAGAAAACACATGTAATGATGACATGCCAAGTTTTCTTCAGAGTAGGAGGTGCATGGCTATTGCTCAATAAACCCTTGTATGGATTAGCGCCCTAAGAGGTTCCTGAGACAGAGATCCCACCCTCATTTTCCTTCAGGACCCCATGGTAAGGACATGTCCCCTCAGTTTATTCTCCCCTGTTTTGAGGACTTGGGAATTCTAGATTTAAAAAAAAACAAGCAGAGTGGCTTGCTATACATATTTTTTGTACCTGGATTAATGAACTATCATTCTTAAAGAGTACTGGCTGGGCCTGATAAACTGATTAGAAAATTTGATCATAATTCCATTTGTTGTCACTCAATTGACTGCTGTGAGATTCCACTTCCCAACAGAACACCATGAAAGGGATGAGGCTACTGTGGTGGGAAAACATTTGACATATATTCCAACTGTCCAATGATTCTGTCCTGATCTGTATCTGAAAATCTGTGGGCCTGTGGAATATTAAGTGCTCTCGTTCACAGATGTCCCTTCTATCATCCCTCATTAAATATAAAGGATGTAAGAAAAAAATAATCAAATAAAGATTAAATTTCAAACTCTTCCTACCCCAACTCCTCTTTCCATATCTTCACACTAGGGACTAGACTGAACTCTGGTTCTCCATGATTGTAACCAGGGCACAAAACACATGTTTTGCTGTCTTCATGGTGCTTTGTTCTATGTGATAAATACACATACTGATACAGTTCATGTGCCCTATTTGCTCAGCTGTTCCCTGTGGCTGGTCATTTGTTACTCCCAATTATTCCTGAGCTTTTCACAATCAGCTTCATGTATATTTTCCACCACCTCACTATACACTTATTTTTTTTTCTCCTGTTATTCTTAAAATAGTTCTAGAATGTGAACTATTTGATAACACTTGCTACAGTGGCAATACAATCCTCCAGATAGATTTAAAAATGTTTCATGCCCAAAGCAATGTTTGACATTATTTTTTTTTGCTGATTTAATAGAGATATAATGGCGTTTTACCTGTGTTTTGTTTCATTACCATTTATGAGGCAATGAATTTCTACTTTTTGCTTCATTCTATAGAAATGGTACAGCTCCTTTGACTATTTACTTGTAGAATCTAGATATTGAGCTTTTTGTTGGTAGTATGTTCTTCATAAATATTTTAGATACTAAACATTTGTACCTGTAAGATGAAATTTTCCCTGTCTGGTGGTTTTTTTATTGTGATTTAATTCACATATCACAAGATTCACCCTTTGAAAGTGCACAGGACTGCTCATCAAGATTGGCAGAGTGTGTAAAGCCTGTGCTTGCCTTCTCCCATGACCACATCAAAATTACAACTCAATTATAGAACCACCACCCTCGAGAACCATCTGAAAACTAGCTGAATGCAACTCCTAAACTGAGACTATAGAAAAGAAGCCACACTAAGGTTGGTAGGAGGGGCAAAGATGCAAAATAGGCAGTGGAGGTGCCTGCTGAGGTGCCAGGAATCCCAGTCCTATACCAGGCTCCCAAGCCCGGACCACCAGTGCCAGGAAAAAAATAAATTCTCCAAAACATTTGGCTGTGAAAATCAGTAGGGATTCTGTCCGGGTGACATGGAGGGCTGCTGTTGTCTCAGGTGTTCCTCTTCAAGGGATCGTGCATAGACTTACTCAGTGATTTACTCACTTGCTCTGACTCCAGCTCAGGGGCAGCAGCTCAAAAATGCAAGAGAGAAACAAGGGCAAAGCTGAATTATCTAGCTTCAAGGCAAGGACTGGAGGAACAGCTCTCTCTGGGACTATACTGCTGGCAAGTTTGTCCCTTTGTTGAGCCCTCTGCCCTCACAGCTGGAAGGAGCAGACTGGTACAAAATCTCAGTCTCCATCAAGCTCACCCTACTTTGGTGATTCCCTGAAACCCACCCTACCCAACTCACACACTAACCCAAACCCCTTTCACTGGCTGTCCTCACAAGCCTGCCAGTGTTGGCTCATGTTGTGGACTTTCCTAAAACCTCTAAGAGGTCCACAAACCCAAACAAGCAACAAGTGGCCTCAGCATGACCTCTGCCTCTTGCTAAATGACCCCGGGACTAGTGACAGTAAGCCTTGGTTTGCACCATAGACTGACTCAGGTGCCTCCAAGTTCAGCATAGGCAGCTATCAAATGCGGATCACTTTGTAGCTCCTACCACTTATCTGCAGACCAGGCATAGGTAGTGGCTGACCTTGGCCTGCATAAGAGCCCCCCACCCAAAAGGACCCAGAACCAACACATCTGGTGACTGGCTTCAGATTATACCAAAGCACCACCCAAATACCTCCACATATGATATACCCAAACAGTTGACCTAGCAGGCACCACAGTCCCAGTACAGTGAATAACAGTCCATGAAGTCTACCTCTGCACTACCGCTCATCCACTATAGTCACATCCAGTCCTCAGAGCCAGTCAGCCTGAGGGTCAATCCCACCCACTGACATGCGAACAGCAATCAAGGACCAACTACAAGAGAAAACACACAAAACTGACACCAGGGACACCTCTGGAGCACTCAGCTCAGGTGAGCAGGAGGTCTGCACCACCACACCCCACAGGACACCTACTAGATAAGGCCACCCTGCCAAGACTGGGAGACACAGCAGATCTACATAACACATAGAAACAAACACAGGGAGGCAGCAAAAGTGAGAAGACAAAGAAACATTTCCCAAAGGAAAGAAGAGGACAAAACTCCAGAAAAAGAACTAAACAAAATGAAGGCAAGCAATATACCAAATACAGAATTCCAAACACTGGTTATAAGGATGTTCAATGAACTTAGGGGAAGAGTAGATGATGAAAATTTATACAGATATAGAAACCATTAAAAAGAACTAGTCATAAATGAAGAATACAATAACTGAAATGAAGAATACATTAGATGCAATCAGCATGGTAGATGAAGCAGAGAATCAAATCAGCAATTTGGAAGACAAGTAACAAAAAACATCCAATCAGAACAGCAAAAAGAAAAAAGAATTTTTAAAAATAAAGATAGTTTAACAGACCTCTAGGACAACTTCAAGCACAAGATTCACATCACAGGGTACCACAAGAAGAGAGAGAGAAAGGGATTGAAAGCCTATTTGAAACATACATACAAGTTCAGGAAGCACAGAGAGTTCCAAAGAGGCTTGCACCAGGACACATCATAATTAAAATGTCAAAGGTTAAAGACAGAAAATTAAAAGCAGCCAAAGAAAAGTAATGAGTTACCTACAAGGTGCTCCCATAAAACTGTCAGCTGACTTCTCCACAGAAACTCTGCAAGCCAGAAAGGATTGCCATGAAATATTCAAAGTGATGAGAAGCAAGGACTTACAACCAAGATTATTCTATCCAGCAATACTGTCATTTAGAATCGAAAGACAGGTAAGGGATTCCCAGACGAGAAAACCCTGAAAGGATTTATCACCACTAAACCACTATTACAAGTAATGTTAAAGAGAATACTTTAAGAAGAATTTAAAACAATAAAAAATATGAATAATAAAATGGCAGTAACTACAGTCTTATCAATACTGACTTAAAATATAAATGAATTAAATGCTCTAATCAAAAACATAGGGTGGCTAAATGGAGAAGTAAACAAAACTTATACATATGCTGCATACAAGAGACCCACTTCAGGTCAAAAGACACACACAGACTAAAAGTAAAGGGATGGAAAAAGATATTTCATGTGAAAAGAAATGAAAATATCTGGAATAGCTATAGTTATATCAGACAAAATAGACTTTAAAACAAAGCTATAACAGGAAACAAAGGAGGACATTTCATACACAGTAGCCATCAATAGACAATGAATAATTATGTGGCACATAAATACAATGGAATATTAGTCAGCCATAAAAGAGAATGAAGTCTTACCATTTGCAAGAATATAGATGGACCTAAAGGGTATTATGCTAAGTGTCACACAGAGAAAAACAGATACCATGTGATTTCACTTATATGTGGAATGTAAAAAGAGGAAAATAAATGAACAAAGCAGAAACAGACATATAGATAAAGAGAACAAACTGATGGTTGCCAGATGAAAAGGGGGTTTAGGGGCTGGGCAAAAAAGATGAAGGGATTAAGAAGTATAAACTGGCAGTTTATAAAATAGTCACAAGGGTATGAAGTACAGCATAGGGAATATAGCCAATAATATTGTAATAAATATGTATGGTGCCAGGTGGCTATTAGACTTATTGGGGCGGATCATTTTGTAAATTACATAAATGTCTCACCACTATACTGTACATTTGAAACTAATATAATACTGAATGTAAACTGTAATTGAAAATATTTTTAATTTAAAATAAAGTATACAATTAAGTGGTTTTTAGTACAATTCACAATGTGTACAAAAATTACCACTAATTCCAGCACATTTTCATCACCCTCCAAACCAACCCTGCACCCATTATCAGAAGCTTGCCATTTGGTCAATCCATGCTGCAGCACAAGTCAGTAATTTATTCCTTTTTTATTGCTGAATAATAACCCATTGTATAAATAATACTACATTTTGTTTATCCAGTCATCAGTCAGCAGCTGATAGACACCTGGGTTGTTTCTACTTTTCAGCCATTATAAATAATGCTGCTATTCATGTACAGGTTTTTGTGTGAACATATGTTTTCATTTCTCTTGGCTTTATCCTAAGAACAAATTGCTGGATCATATGGTAAAATGTGAGTGACTGTCAAACTATTTCCAAAGTGGTAAAGCAACTTTTCAATCATTAAAGTCAGTTAGTTTTCTTCCTCTGTGTAATGACTTCACAGTCTTTGCCTTTGTCTTTTGTCAGTTGGTAGGTATTGTTTGTTGGGAATATCTAATTCTTTACCTGGCTTTTTACAATTATTTTCCAGTCTGTTTCTTGTTTTGCTTTAATATTGTTTTTTTCTGTTTTGATCAGGAAATTTCATTTATTCTAAGTTGTCTCCATATTTTTACCATAAAGTAAATCATTTTATCTTGTGTTGGATTTTCAAATTTTACAATAGGATTTACACTGTCAGCTTTATTTTGCAAAATGAACTACGTATTTTGCCATGTATAATGTTTGAAGGGAAAAATAAGGATGCACATTACACATGGGTAGTACTAATCTGCCACCGGTACATAAAATTTCTTGTACCTTGTATCTGTTCTTGTGTTTTGTAATTACTTGCTACATAAAATTTCTTGTACTGTATGTTCAAAAATAAATGCTAAAATTCCTTTATAATACAAAAAACAAGTATCTAAATATAAAGAAATAAATAATTGAATTTAAAAATTAAATCAAAAGGTTTTTTTTCCTGAAAGTTTGGGCTAAAAACATGGGTCCTCATTATACATGACAAAATACAGTAAGCACTTCCCTTTGTTGTTTTTATTGAATTTATTGGAGTGACATTTATTAATAAAATTGTATAGGTTTCAGGTATACAATTCTACAATACATGATCTGTATACTGTATTGTGTTTACCACCCAAGTCAAGTCTCCTTCCATTGCCATTTATCCCTCCTTTACCCTTTTCTACCACCCCCCAAAACACTTCTTTTTGATTTCAACAACTGGATGAAAAATGTTTAATGTATTATTAACATTGTTTTTAAAGGTCACACTGGTATATATTTTATTTTAAGACATCTCAGTTTCCTATTTTACTTCAACATTAAACTTAATGTTCTCTTAAGTGTTCTTTTATTTGTTATTAAATTCCATATTTTGTACGTAGTGTAAGGACAGGAGTCTTTTTTTTCTTCAAAAACCACTTTTTGCTAGCACCATCTTTTTTACAATAAGTTGAAATGCTGCCCTTTCATATAGGTCCTCATATATTCAGATCAATTTTGGCACTTACTATTATTCTTCTCTACTGTTCTATTTATTTACTCTTAATTCTAACTGTGCTGATTTTATTTAAAACATTTTACTTATTTATTTTTAGAGAGAGGGGAAGGGAGGGAGAAAGAGAGAGAGAGAAACATTGATGTTTGAGAGCTACATCCATTGGTTGCCTTTGTACTCCCCCAACTGGGAACCTAGTCTGCAACCAACCCAGGCATGTGCCCTGACTGGGAATCGAACCAGTGACCTTTCAGTTGGCAGGCCAGCACTCAACCCACTGAGCCATACCAGCCAGGGCTCAAACTATACTGCTTTTATTGTTTTTGTTTTTAGTAATTCTGTTGTCTAGAAAGACAGGTATTCTTTATTTAAAAAAACATTTTTGGTACCACACAGTTTTGACACTAGTATCTCTATAATATATTTTACACCATGGTTAAATGGGTCACCTATAGTTAGGGTTAAGAAAAGGACTCACTTATATTCTTACTTTCATCATCCTGCTGGTGGCCAATGTTACCCAGAAGAATAAAGCGATATCTCGGGCTATCCCAACCCTGATCAGTGTATGGGAACCAACTATGGGAACCATTCAAGGAGAAAACGCGCTGTTAGGCGTCCGTAAGAAGCCAAAATTGAGGATGGGAACGGCAATGGTCCGAAAACAAGGATTTCTTAGAAAGTAAGATGGCCAAAACAGTGTTGAAGATGGCAAGCGGGAGAAACGAGAGTCTCTTGTCTCTGATCTACTGGCCGCCCCTGACTGAAATGACAGCTGTAACAGGAGCCAGGACCCGAGAGAAGACCCGAACCACTACTCACTCCCAGTCTCCATAATGCTTTGACCCACTCCGGATGCTGCAACAGCAACCGCGGCGGCCTGGAGCAACCCTTCCGGTTTAGACACAACCCACTTCCGGCCGAGCCTCGGCTCTACACCGCCCCAGGACCGCGCCTGACGCCCTCTCATTGGCTGGTTGGAGCTGAACTACATTTCCCAACAGGACCTGGATTCAGCCGGTATCTGGAATAGTGCCAACCCGTCGTGGAGGACTGGAGCCAGCCCTCTGCTTTCCGTCTTCCCGGTAGAGCCAAAGAGAGAACGGCTGCCTCCAGCTTGGTCTCCCTCTGGCCCTGAGAGCTCCCCCAGTCAGCCTCGAGTCTTGCCTCAACTGCAGACTGCCCGCTCCTAGCAGGGAGACCATATTATCGCACCGGAAACGAGGGACCGGGCGTGACATCACAGATGCTGAGATGCCCGGCTTCCCAGAAGGCTCCGCGTCCCTGCCGTCTTCCCTAACTGACGTCTCGGCACACCAATAGTGTCTGGCGGCCTGTGAGGACACTCCCAAGGGCGAGGGGAGGGCTCGGCCTCTCGCGCTTAGTTTCCCGGTTTCTCCCAGACTCTAGGTCTCTGGGTTCTTCTCAGCGAGTGCCCAGGGGTGGCAGAGCCTCCGAAAGGTGAGGTGCTCCGCAAGGGCGGGAACCAGGCTTGAGGCGGCCTCTGGGGAGCGGAATGTAGTCCGTTGTTGGAAGAGCCTGGCCGGATAGGGAGCCGGGAGCGAACCCCAGGCAACGCCCAGTATGGGCTTTGCGATAAAGGTGGCCCTTGACCGGTGGGAGAGGTTCTAGTGTGTGCCAGGACCGGTAGGCCCTACTGGGATGTCCCCTGCCGCTTTCATCCGAGTTTTCTCAGCCTAAAGGAGTCAGCGGGCCATGTGAGGACACTTAATACGATCTTGCGTCTGCTCCTTCAGTCATTAGCTGTCCCCCGAGAGGACAGGTTCAGTGGCCAAGCTGACTGATGCCCTCGATATTGACCCCCACATTTCCTGTCTTTTAGGCTATTGCTCTAACAGCATGAGTTAAGCAGCTCTTCCCAGTGGAGTCTGCACTTTATATTTCTTAGGGGAATGTCCCTTGATCTTTTCCCGGTTGCCTTTTTCTCCCTTCCATTTGGTCCTTGTGGTTTGGACATCCTTTGGCGTTCATTCTCAGAATTTTCCTTTCAGTCCTTGCTAAGATTATCCACTTCAGTTATGAGTTCCCTACCCCAGCTTATCTTTCCTTTCTAACTTAGATCTCATGTGGTCTCACTACCCAAGCTACATTTTGGAGTGTAGGCATGTCCTGCCTGATTTTGTAGGTAACCCATGATTCTCTTGTCTGCAGCTTTCTGGCAGATTTTCTCCAGTAAGAGGTGGCTTTTGAAACTCTGCAGAAACGAGTGTGGTGTGTGATTTCAAGGCACGATGGCTGCAAAAGTGTTTCCTATGCCCCCAAAGCCAAAGCAGTCTTTTATACTGAGAGTTCCTCCAAACTCCAAGCTAGGCCAAGACCTACTTCGAGATGCTACTAGTGGGCCCAAGACCATCCACCAACTGGTTCTGGAGCACTTCCTCACCTTTTTGCCCAAGCCAGGACTAGCCCAGCCCAGTCAGAAAGTCAAAGAGACCTTGGTTATTATGAAGGATGTGAGCTCAGATTTTCAGAACAGAGGTAAGAACACTTTTCTGTTTCACTAAAAGAGGCTGGTACTCGGCTTCCTTGCCAGTAACAAACTCCAGTTAGGATGGTGGATATTGAGAAAAGGAATCAATTCTAGTAAGTCAACATGGTGGGGAAAGGGAGTATTTTTTTTCTCAAACTGGAGCTTGAGTGGTTGGCTGAGTGTGGGTAAGGTCATGGAATAAAGAGTCTGTCTCTGTTCTATAGTGTCAATTTTCCACAGACATTCAGGGGGTGGGGGGATATCTCTTTAGGATAAATAAATGTGGATGAATTATTGAATTGACTTCAGTTTATGTGGCAGTATGGAAATGCTGTGCTTGCCGTCAGAATCTTCAGACTTTACCTTCCCCTTACCTCCCCTTTAATAGTTACGGAAATTTTCAGAGGTACTTGGGGGAAACATTCTTTTCATAGGAAGGAGACACTATATAGGTTCAAGACATTGTGGTTTATGGCTTGATGTCTAACTGGGCTCACAGGAGCAGAAAAAGCCATAAGGTGCCTGCCAAAGGAGTGAGAACAACCTGGCTTCAGGGCATGGATAGAGTCTCCATATTAGAGTCACTGACTTTTCCAGTAACTACAGCTTCCTCTTTCCCCAGTGCAACCTCGTCCCTTAGTGAAGCTTCTGACCAGAGAAGGAATCCAGCAGAAACAGGAGACAGTATCTCTGTGTTTGAAAGCTGAGCCTGAGGTGGGGTTTGGTTTTCCCATTCACTGTTTGAGTGCATCACTTTCTCTGCTCTTGTTGTCCCTCCCCATTTAGCCAATCTTTGCATAAAATCACACTCTTGGGAGTTAGGAAGGAGAGTGGGGCTTGTGCTTCACTGCCTTATTAAATGTTTTTCTTCTGCTTTTCCTCTGGCTCCTCTATGAGCCTGGCTTTCCTGTCTGGTGCATATCTGTGGGACTTATAGATCCCTTTTACCATTCCTTCCTTCATCTTTGGGTCTCAGTCTTTCTTATCAACAGGGCTGTCAAATAACTTTTGTTAACTGACAGGAAGGGGGGCCTGTTGATCTTTCAGGAGCTCGTGGTCTTTGAGGATTTGAATATATTTTACTCCCAAGAAGAATGTGTAAGCCCAGATCCTACTCAACATCCCACCTCAGAGAAGGAAGAAGACACTGTTGGAGAGATGATGTTAATGGGTAAGAAATTAAGTCCCTTGTGTGTTCAGATTGAATGCTGTGGGAAAGGCATGTTTTTCTACTCCATCTTAGACTTTTTCAAGACACTGTTCACACCAGCTAAGCACATGTTTACACACACATTTAATTTTTGTTTTATCACATATAGCACAACCTGTTCCAGTTGTGGTTAGCCATTTTCCCTGTATCTTGGGGATAGCAAGGGCGGAGGGGATTTCTCTTGGTACGCAAGAACTACGGTCTAATATCCAACATTCAAACAGATAGAAAATGTGGGCAGACTATTTCCGAACCCATTTTCTGGATCCAGTGCTATTCTCCCAACAGGTATATTTTAAATTAGTGTTTTTAGTGGGCACATAACAAACTGTTAATGTCTTTTTTCCCCCTGTTGGTGTTCAATAGCTGTGAAGCCTCTTAGTATAAATGAAAATATATCCAACTATTGATAGACATAATGTCTAAGTACTTTGCATGTATTTCTTATCTCATAATTCTCATAGTTGTGTACTGTAGGGTATAGGAGTTATAACTATTTTATAGATGATGAAACTGTAGCAGAGAAAAGTTAAGATATTTGCATCTGGCAGCAGCTCAATCTTAGAGATGCTTCAGCTTTTTTCTATAAGCACACTGTTACTGTAAAGTCAGGAGCCTTCAAAAATTGTTTAGATGAGTGCCTTATACTTTTTACCTTGATTTCAGGGCTCTTTGCTTCTGGGGCAGGCTTTGAGGAGAGAGTGGGCTTTGTGAATTGCCTGGGGTGACAAAAATCTATAATGACTGTTGAACTCTGTAGTTTTCTCACACAGTATGGTCTGGGTAGTGCTACATAATGGGCCAGGTTAATTTCCCACAGATTGTCCTGTTATATTTTCTTTATTTTAGGGAAAAGTATAAAGAGATAAGATTTATTGGACAAGTTTTGCATCAGTCTTGGGCAAAGCTAGCATTTATTTTTGGTGACTGGTTGGTGGATGTGTTGCCAACACCAGGAACACCTTTGCCATGCACCTTGAGGTCTGGAGACCCAATGCTTACACTCCCTTTCATTACCCATACCATGAAACTGATGAGTTAGAGTCAAACAATAAACAGCAAAGATATGCACATGATTTTCAAAAGCACTAAGAGTATTTACTCAACGACTTATTTAGTAAACACCACCTGTTTTTTCTCATGCAAGGTTGGGTTTTAGAGTTGATTAAAAAGATACATAATGCTCCATTCCTGCCCTCCAGGAATTTCCGGTTTGTTTTGTAAGATAAGTCATTCATATAAAAAGATAAACAGTGTGAACCTGTTATAAAGAGGTATGATGAGGTTGCGGCAGGATTTGGACTAAGAACAGAGTTTGGAACAAGATGGATTTTATTTCCATAGCAGAAAGTAAAATGAGATTATTCTCTGGGTACTTGGACATTAAGGATTGGAAGCCAGGTGTAAGGACATACAGATTTGGGAGTCATCAGCATGCAGCTGATGTTGAAATAGTAACTATTTGATCAGCTCGCAAAGGTAAAAATGTAAGAGAATGAACTTCATGGGGACAAATCAAAAAAGAGCTCTTGGTAGAAGAGGACAGAATGTGTGTCTCTGTCCAAGTGAGTAACATGAAAACAAGTGGAAATGTAGAACACTTAAACTAATTCTCAATGAGATGGTTCTTAGGGTGTTATCTGTCTCTACTGTGGTAAGAGAATACATCTTTACAAGGTTGATACACATGGACTGCATGCCTTGCAATAAAGAGAGACTCAGTGGATTCCAAAGAGTAGAAATAACAGAATAGAATCTATCCAGAACAAATAAAAGTTAATAATAAGATCATGGGGGGGAAAGTCCTAACTGGAAATTTTAGAAACTATTAAGTAACCTTTAGTCAAAGGGAAAATACAAATTAAAATTACACAATTTTTCCAAAAACACCATGTATCACAATCTACGTTATAACCTAAAGTGGTTTATGGCTGTAAAAACATGTATGTTAATGTAGAAAAATGAAATTAAGACTCTAACTCAAATTTAGGGAAAAAAGGAAAACAAAGTATTAATAAGTATTAAATTAGAAAAATTAGTAAGTTAAAAGAACTAATAAATTGATTTTAAAACAAACCAGTTTATACTGAGCAAATTGAAATATTCAAAAACTAGCCCCCCCTTCCAAAAAAAAGGATCAGCCTCACAGAAAATTCTTGGAAATTTCAGCTTCACAGAAAATTCTTGGAAATTCTTAAAAACTGGACAGTTCAAATGCTATGAAAAATTTCAGAGTACAGAAGAAAAGAACTTCCAAATTGTTTAATGAAATTCGTGTAACAAAGACATGCAACCTGATAAAAACTTGACCAAATAAGATTTATTCCAGAAATGCAAAACTTATCTAATACTAGAAAGTCTGTTACTATCTATCTTATAATTTAAAAAAATCTAAGATCATTTACATAGTTATTGAAGAGGTATTTGACAAAATACAAACTCCTTCATTAGAACACTTAACAAAATAGTACTTAAGAATAGTACCTAGTATTTACGTAGTACTAAGAATGCTTCCTTAATGGGGTACTTATTTTTTCAGTCAGCATCATCTTTTTTTTTTTCTTTTATTCATTCCAGAGGGGAAAGGAGGGAGAAAAACATCAATGTGAGAGAGAAACATCAATTGGTTGCCTCTTGCATGCACCCTAACTGGGGGCCAGACCTACAACCCAGGCATGTGCCTGATGGAATTGAACACACGACCTTTTGGTTTGTGGTACTACACCCAATGAGCTAAGCCACACCAGCTAAGGCTGTCAGCATCATCTTAACAGTAAATACTGTGAAGCATTCCCACTAAAATAAGGAGTACAACCATGAAGCCCACCATCACAACGTCAGTATTTAATATTGTGTTTTGGGTATTAGCCAGCACAGTTAAATGAGAAAGAAATTAGATGTATAAGAATTGAAGAGAAAGGAAAAAAAACTACATCTATTTACATATGATGTAATTGTATAGCTGGAAAAACATAGAGGATATCTGAAAACTTACTACAAATAATCATTTAGTATGGCAGTGGGATATAAAATACTACAGTATATGGAAATCATTAGCTTTCTAGGCAAACACAGTCATTTAGAAGATATAATATAGGAATGAAAAAGATTAAACACCTAGAAATAAACTTGAGAAATGTGCAAAAATTATGAGGAAAACCTTAAAACACAGTAGTGTTTTTCCTCATAAAACACAAGTTAACTTCTGTCTTAGAAGTCTAAGACAGAAGTAGACTTGAATGAATGAAAAGAAACACCATGTTCTTGGCTAGGAAGATTTAATAGAAAAAGGTCAATTCTCCCCAAGTTGACTCATGAATTCATTGTAATCTCTTGAACAATACCAATAGGATTTTCCCGCTGGAATCAGACAATCTGATACCAAATTAAATAGAAAAATAAATACAAGTAATCAAGAAACTTGAAAAGCAGTGGGATGGGAGGAGTTCTAGCCTTTTCATGTGTTAAAGCAGCCTCTAAACCTAAAGCCTGTGTCATAAAAATAGTGTGGTATGGCATTTGACTAGGGAGATGAATGCAACAAAATGTTCCGAAATAGGCCTCCCAGTGCTTACCACAGGCTGTGTTCTTATACTGACTGTACAGAAAGCGGAGGCAGAGTAAACCCATCCCATATACACCTCAGCCCAGGCCCTTTGCCTGGTCTGTATTGTGAATGGGGGGATATGGAGGGGAAAAAAAATGTTCGGAAATATTCTCAAATACACTGGGGATTTAGTTTGTGATAAAGGCAGAATCTTCAGACAGCAAGGTAAAAAGGGACTTTCTGATAAAAAGTGGTGGCGCAACTCAATAACAAATTGGTGAATAATACCTTATTTTGCACACCAATGGAAAGTCCAAATGGATAGCAGATTTTAAATGTTTAAAAAAAAACTTTAAAAGCATCATTAGAGAATATGGATGAATTCCTTTCATAACCCTGGGATAGGAAAACTTTTCTAATTAAGGCTCAAATGTCCAGAAGTGTTGAAAGAAAAGATTAATAAATAAATAAAAGATAAATGTAAGTTAAAACAATAAGTTGGGGGATATTTATAACTTAGACAAAAGCCTACTCCTTCTAATTTATAAAGAACCTCTAGAAGTAAGGAAGAGAAAGTCCAAATGACTTGCTTAGAAATACAAATTACACTTAAACACATGAAAATATGTTCACCCTTAATCATAATTAAAAATGCAAATTAAACCTGCACTGAGTTACCATTTTTTTAAATCATATATACATAAATGAGTACCATAACAGCACCTTGGTAGTGAGGTTGTTAGGAGATGTCTATATTGCTAGTAGGCATGCAGAATAATACAGTCCCTAATTATGGGAATCTGTAATTACTCATATTACAGATGCATTAACCCTTTGATCCAGCAGTCCCATTTCTAGGAATCTGACCTACCGGCAATATCAACAGCACACACTCAAAATAATGTACAGTTATTCATTGCGGTACTGTTTATGAAAACATAAGATTGAAACTAATCCAGGTATCTGCAGGTTTGAATATGGTTATGATGGTATGTCCACACATACCATGATAATCTCTATGGACTGGCATGCAGTGTTTGAAGTAAAACAAGCAGAAATATATGTAGTATACTACGTTTTATATAAGAAAGGGAGAGAAAAAGAAAATTTATTGCCTAAAGAAACAATAGAATACTAAAAAGAAACTAGTAAAAACTGGTGCCTGTCTAGGGGAATGAATAGAATGGATAGGTACAGAGACTGAATTAATTCTTCTCATTGTGTACCTTTTCATATGTTTCGATTTTTGAGCGATGTAAATACATTAGCTATTAAAATCTTTTAACTTAAAAAATTAGTACATTAAAGAAAAATCATAAACTTCAATAAATTGTTACCAAAACAGATATTTAGCCCTTTAATGTAACGGAACATTTAAGTCATTCATAAAACACTGATAATAATACCTAAAAACAGAACAAAATGAAGAAACTTGCTGTCACTACTAAGCTATCACTATTAATATCATTAACTAGGTTTCCTAAATCAAGAAGATGAGACAAAAGGGTTAAGAAGAAAAAATATTGGAGCCTTGACAGGTGTGACTCAGTTGGTTGGGTGTCGTCCTGCAAAATGAGAGGTCGCCAGTTCGGCCCCTGGTTGGGGTGTGTATGAGAGGCAACCAATGGAGGTTTCTTTCTCCCATACATGTTTCTCTCCCTCTCTTTCTCCCTCCCTTCTTCTCTCTCTAAAAACAAATAAAACCTTTTTAAAAAGAAGGAAAAAAATATTGGAAAGAGAGGGGATCCTTTATATACTTAGTACAAACCTTGATTTCTACCTAGAAAATCTGAAAGGATCAACTAAAAATTATATTTGATAGTTTTAAAGTAGGTAAATAGTAAATAAATATATAGCTATCAAAAGCATTATTAAATAAAACAATGAAAGCTCTCATTCAGAGTGTCTATAAAATAGGAATAAACTAGAGATGTTTGTTGGTAAATAATAATGTTAAATATTGAAGAAACATGGGTCTAAATGGGAAAATTAATATAAAGATAACTATATTTATATTATTATAAATATATAAATTTATATATATTTATAAATTTATATATGTTTATATATTATATATTATATTAATATAAATATAAAGTAAAGATAACTGCACTCCAAATTTATTTATATTGTACTTAGGGTCAGAGTCAAAATTTTTAATAAGGTAGAAGTGAATGTGCTAGCTGGTTTTACCAATATTAGACATGTTACAAACAAAAGTGTGATATTAAACTCCAAATGGGGGTATTTGTGGTGGAGCTGTGCAGTCACAAATCCTGCTGGAAGTGCTAAGACAGTGGGGACTGGGAAGTAGAGTATGACTACCAATTCAAGGCAGTGCTCATCTGGGGCTCAGGTGTGGAAAAGGCCAATGTGCTATCCCACTTCACCCACAAGAAGTTCAGCCTGTAGAGCAAGAGCACCATTGGCATGGAATTTACCACCCACAGCATTTAGGTGGATGGTAAGACAATCAAGAGGCAAACCTGGGACACTGCCTGCCAGGAGTGCAACTGTGCCATCACCTCTGCATGTTACTGTGGCCCATTGGGTGTGCTGCTGGTGTTTGACATCACCAAGCACATGGCATGAGAATGAAGAGCACTGGCTGAAGGAGCTATGGGACCATGCTGACAGCAACATCGTTGTCATGTGGGTGAGCAGCAAGAGCAACTTGCACTACTTGTGGCCTGTGCCCACTGACGAGGCTTGTGCCTCCACAGAGGATAACTTGTCCTTTATTGAGAACTCAGTCTTGGACCTCATTAACGTAGGGGAAGCTTTCAAGAACATTCTCACAGAGATCTACCACATCATGTCACAGAAGCAGATTGCAGACAGCAGCCCACCAATCCCTTGGCAACATGTAGTGGACATCAGCATGCTACCCACTAACAATAGACAGAAGCCGAACTATATGCAGTGCTGCCAGAACCTGTAATTGCCTGCACCTCATCCAAGTGTGCATGTACATCCTCGTCCTTTTCCCATCCCTCACCATAATATCCTCAATGACCCAACTTTCTCTGTCCCTCTGTGACTGGCTCCCATCCTTCCATTGAGCTCTGCACAGTCATCTCAGTCTTAGGAAGAACAGAAGTAAAGCAGCTCCTATACCCTCTTTCCCAGGAAAGGTCAAAGCCCTCCTGCCACAGTGGCACTTGGGTTCCAGTGGGCCTCTGGCCAGGGGGCAGGCAGGGTGACAGGATGGACAGGGCCAGCCAGAGGCAAGAGGATGGGCACATCTAGCAGGCTTCTTCAGTTTTCCACAGCAGTCTACAGGGAGCAATTACCTCCCTCCCTCTCTGGCCAGTTGTCCCAGTTGGCCCTGGTCACCACTCAGAACTCCCATCTAGACTCAAGCCTGAAAAGCAAGTAATAGGGGGCAGAGCAGACAAAGGCTCCTGGTACCCTACTCCTCACATACAACCAACATTGGCACATGCCTTCAACTTCAGCGTATCCCAACCATGCGTGAATCCAACTTCTGCCTGTAGACTTATTCTGGAGAAGACAGCCCTCCTTCCTTTCTGCATGCAGTGTGCTCCCCACACTACCCCCTTTTCTCTGTCCTGTAAGGAACCTTTTTGCAAGTGAAACAGTATCTCAATGTTTTCTATTATATGCTCTTGTAGCATTTGTTTTTTCTTATTGCAGAGAAACACGAGTTCTTTATACATGGATGGAAAAAAACTTCCAAATGTATGAATTAACTGTAAAAAGAAGTCATAAAAAACCAGCCAGAAAACAATAGAAATTGATCAGATTTTGTAAAAGTGTTTTTTGTTTCACATTTTAAGTTGTGGAGTTTAATTACAGAAGACTTCAATTTTTAAAAAATTCAATAATGATTGACAGATTTAGAATTTGTAATATATAGAAGTTTTTTAAATTTATATAACTTTCAGCCCAATAGTTTGCATAATGTGCAAAATAAAGCTACAATGTAAAACATTTTATACTTATTAAATATTTTTAAATGATATTTAATGCTGGCAAGATATGCTAAAATCATTACCCACATGTACATGGTTGTATTGAAATTGGCATATGCTTTGACCCAGCATTTTCATTATCCTAAGGGAATAATTTTAAAAATAAATAGAAAAAGCCCATTAATATGAAACTACTAAATTCTGAGATTCACAGTCCAGCTTCCGGATCAGCCACATATCTAAGTGGCTAGTTTAACCCTTTATTTTTAGTAAGTTGCCCAGAGTTTAGGGGTCCTACCTGTTTACAGCATATATTCTTCCCACATTGTTGCCTAGTCTTTATCATCTTATTTTACATGTTTTGGGGGGATGAATAATATAAATACAAAAAAGTGTACAACTCAGATTTTCACAAAATGTACACATTTGTCTAACTACCACCCAAGATTGACCATTCTTAGCACCACAGAAATTCCTGCTGTGGCCCCTGCCCAGTCACTACTTCCCTTCCTACCCCCAAAGTCCAAACTACTGACTTCTGCCATAGTTTTGTTTTATTGGTTGTAGTGATCACTTTAATACCCAAATAATGTGTGTGAATATGTTATGTCTTTTCTATTTTGGGGCATTTTAATTGTTCATAGTTTTTCATTATATATAGGATAATATTGTGTAATACAATAATACTGTAGTTAATGTAGTGAGAATACAATAATACTGTAGTTAATGTAGTGAGAACCTAGAAGTAACTTGTGTTTCCATTCACTTACTAGCCTAAAGATTATGAGTGTTACTCTTGTATTTATGTCTTTCATCCCCTGGTACTTAGCTCAGTGCTCTACACAAAATATAAGCTCAATGTGAACTTCATTAGTAAAACAGACATATGAAGTCTTTCAGTATGGTCTCAGTCATTTCATCTTTTTTCATGTGCTTGCATTATGGGGTATGGAGAGATTTATTAGTCACTGTCTACAGCCATACCATCCTGAACACACCCAATCTCATCTGATCTCAGAAGCTAAGCAGGGTCAGGCCTGGTTACTACTTGGATGGGAGATTTATTAGTCATGTATCCCCCTCAATAAGAGTAGAAAAGGCATGTTGGTGATTATCTGCCAGTTCTCAGATTTGTGATTTTCAAAGTTATTTAATGAGAAATCAGACTTGTTTTAATTTTCCCTCCTGGTGTCATAGCCCTCAAAAGTTACTAAATTCTTTTCTTTTTTTTTTTTAACAGTCAATGATGACAATAATCCTGAGAGTGAAGATCAGAGAGAAAAGTCTTCAGATTGTGATGAGATTGATTGTTCCATGGTCTCTGAGCAACCTCCAGATTGCCATAAAGAAAAAAGACTAAGTACATCCATTCCAAATGAAAGGAAAATGAGAAATCTTTTAGTTACCATTGAAAATGATACTCCACTAGAGGAACTCTCAAAATTTGTGGATATCAATATCATTGCACTTAACCGAAATCGAAGAACAAGAAGATGGTACACTTGTCCACTGTGTGGGAAACAGTTTAATGAGAGTTCTTACCTTATTTCCCACCAGAGGACTCACACAGGAGAAAAACCCTATGACTGTAGTCACTGTGGGAAAAGCTTCAATCATAAAACAAACCTTAATAAACATGAACGAATCCATACAGGAGAGAAACCTTATGCATGTTCAAAGTGTGGGAAAAATTTTCGTCAAAATTCTCATCGTAGTCGCCATGAAGGAATCCACATAAGGAAGAACCTATTTAAGTGTCCAGAATGTGGGAAAACCTTCCTGGAGAACAAAGAATTTGTGCTTCATCTACAGAGTCATGTGGCTGAGAGGCCTTATGGTTGCAAAAAGTGTGGGAGAAGATTTGGTCGGCTGTCAAACTGCACCCGCCATGAAAAAACCCACTCAGCATGTAAGACCCGAAGGCAGAAGTGGGATCGGGAAAGGTCAGATGGTCCTGCCTCCACCTGAGATGTTTCATAAGGAATTCTGAATTCCCAGGCTGTCTGAAAAGATACAGATATGTGAAAACTTCATAATAGCCCAAATTGGATAAATACGCACCTTGCCTGAAGCCTCAAATTTTTAGGAAATTCACAGTGAAGAAAATATCCTCAAAGTCTATACCTCAATTAACATCCAGGCTTTTTTAGACTAAGGAGCTTTCCTTTGTGAACTTACACAATATACATAGAGGTCTGCAAATATGAGTCTGCAAAGTGAACAGAGCAACTCGTGTACTGAAAGTATATCCATTTTCCCACCACATTGAATTCACATTTGAGAAAAGATAAATAATGCAAAAGTCCTTTTCTGGACTGGTGTGCTCCTGAAAGGCCTAAACTACTGATTCGGTAGACCAACAGCTTCTATTAGTTTGTTAACCCTCTAAGAACAACATCCTGTTAAAGCTTGAGTTTTGAAAGGGATTGTTTGCTTTGGAATATAGGAAAATACAGCAATTGAATATCAAAGGCTTACTCTGTCATTTGTGATCTAAACTATCAATTTCAATAATGTTTGCAACTTGTGTTCAATAATGTTGCAACAACGTAATTTTAAAATGTCTACATTCTTACTCTTTGTTCACCTAGTAATTGTTCAAACAGCTCTCTGATGCCTTTCCCTTGCCACAAAAGAAGTTTAGATCACTCAGGTCCAGCCACCCAATCCCACTACTGGAAAAGCTCTTCAGAATCTTGCTGCTCTGCTGGGCCAAGACTTGCTAGGAAGAAAACCCCAAGAGCCTGAAAAGGAGGAGAGAAGCTCACTAGTTTGGAACTATGGTTGCTCAATATCTTTACCATATGCTTAATTCCCCTCTGAGCAGTTAGACCTTTGGCAATGGGTGGTCGCTACCTCACAAGCAAAGTGTTTTATTTTTAGAAATTATGTCTCCAGTGGCTAGCTCACATTTTCCCTCAAGAAACAGGATTCCAGTATTTTCATTGTAGGTATTTGTTCTCTTTGGCCTCCTGATATCCAGACTTTCCTGACTTGTCTTTCCAGAGGCAAGGTGTCTTCCTGGGACCAGTCCTATGGTGTGTGAGTTTAAGGATTCTTGATCAGCTTTACACTTTCTAGGTTTCCCAAATTTTTTCATTGGTATTTTGATTGGAATAAGTTGATCCTCTAAACTATTTGGAAAACTTGTTAACTTTACAAATTTTGTTTCCCATTCAGAACCATGCCTTTTCATTTATTTATTCCTGAGTAAATTTTTCTCATTTTTTATTGTAAATAGTTTTTTATTATATTTTTCTAGTTATAGCTCTTATATAGGAAAGTTGCTTTTAATTATGTATTTGTGAAACTAGCCACCTCACTGAATGTTCTTAATTTTCAATAATTTCTCAGTTCTGTTAAAATTTGTGGTTAAAAATTATACTGTCTAAAAAAATTATACCATCTTCAAATAATAGTTTTGTTTCTTTTTGCCTATTGTCCTTTTTTTTGTTGTTTTTTAAACAGATCACTCTAAGCTTTGTTTTGCTACAAAACATTTTATAATACAGTGCAGTCCTGAGTTCTAATTTTAAAACAATAACAAAAATCAATACTTAAAGACCACAGAAAAATTGTCCTTTATCAACTTTGTATTTCAAGCCTACAGTGCCCTTTAAAACAAGGGACAAAACTAGCTGCCAATGTTATTCTTTTACTCCTCCAGAAGTCTTGTCAAGGTCCACTGGTTATTGCACAGAAGACTGGCCCTCGCACCTAGAGTACTTAAAGACTGCGTGCTGCAGAGCAGTGACTGGAGAAGTTGGGGTCCCTGATGTGAGATGTTCTCTAAGGCCTGTGGGTGGGTGATGCTCCCACGACCTAAAGAACCTCCCAACACCTGGGAGTTTCCCTCTGTCCTGGGCCTCAGTATGTTGAAGGGCCAGTGCAATCAAGGCTGTGGGTGCCTACGCTTCTGGAGGGCGGTGCCTGGGCCAGCCTGATTTTTCCCATGCCTTCACCCTCTCCCAGGAACACAGGGCCAGGATGCTGCCAAATTGCAGAGAGCTCCAGGAAGCTCTTAAGACGTGTCCCCTGCTGCAAGTTGCTGAACCAGAGCCTCAGGTGGACAAGAGAGGAAAAACAAAGGCAGTGGCACCTGAGTACCCCTTCGCCACCAGGACCCTTGCCTGGCAGGAACTTTGGGAGTAGGAGGCTGGTGGAATCACTGGCTTGCTTACCACTACAGAGCCATAACATTTTTATTTCCTTCACCATTGTTTTGAAACAGTTCTGAAAGAAAGCAAAGGTTTATGTCATGTTCTATTATTCTTGGTGGCCCTGAGCTCAGTGTCTCAGCATGGGAGATAGAATATATGAATGTAATATCAAAGAAGAAGAAAACACTTTAGTCCTTAATTTGAATTGGAAATATCAGTATGAACTCATGGTGTATGCGTATCTTAAGAAAATGTTTCTGTACTGTCCACTGAAAGAGTTAGGGAAACATGATTAGCTCATTCATAATGAGCATCACTTCCCACTAAAAGGAACAGGGAACATTAGCAAATTAGTCGATTCTGGAACTGGGGGAAAAAAAATGCACAGAATGAGTCTAGAACACCTTTTCATATCAGATAACAAGGATGCTTTCAAAAGACTGCCCAAATTCTGTCAAAAGAAGTCAGAAGCAATTTATAGAGGTTCCTGCTGGCCATATAGGACAATCTGAGAATACGCATAACTGCAATTATTGAAAAATATAAAATATATTTAAGTCTTTGAGTTTATATTTAAATAAAGATGTTATATTTAAAAATGAAAAATAGAGCTGTGCTATGATCCAGCAATTCTACTTCTGGGTATTTATCTGAAGAAAACAAAAACACTAATCTGAAAAAGATATGCACCCCTATGTTCATTACAGTGTTACTAGTAATAGCTAAGATGTGGAGGCAACCTAGATGTCCACCAATCGATAAACAGATAAAGCAGATGGGATATATATGTGCAATGGTATATTATTTGCCAACAAAAAGAATGAAATCTTGCCATTTGTGACAAGTGTATTAGGGACCTAGAGTGTATTATGGAAGTGGAATAAGTCAAACAGAAAGAAAACATGATTTCACTCACATGTGGAATCTAAAAAAATGAATAAATGAAACAAAAATAGAAACAAATCCATAAATATGGAGAACAAGCTGATGGTTGCCAAAGGAGGGATGGGTAGGGGGTAGAAATTTAAAACAAAAAAAAAATCTTGATCATTGGAGTATTAATATTGAACCAGTTCATTCTTTTGAACACTTACAAAGGAAATAGTCTAGCATTTATCCTGTCTTTTCTATAGAAATTCCTTGGGGAACAAAATAGCAGGTGAGGGGAAGTTTCTCTTTATAAAAATATTGTAGTCAGTGAGTGAAAAAATAATAAAATGAAGTATTCACAATTTTGCAATCTGTAATGAATTCATGGATCTTCACATTAAGTACCAATGCCTGCCTGTTAACATAAAAAAAAAAAAAAAACCAGACATACCACTTTATTGAAGAACACACCACTGTCTATTATATAGTCTTGCTTAAAATACTGAACTTGAACCCAGCCAAGCCTCTTGATCTAAATTCCATATTACAGGGAACAGAGGAATACTTTAAATGACACCATGGAGATGCAATTATCAAAATTCTGACTGTGGGAGACTACAGACAGTAGCTCATTTCTTCAATAAATATATTGCAAGAGTAAATGGTATGGAAGGGAAACTTACAGTTTGAGAATTTGAATGATAGTTAAGAAACAACCAATGATAATGTGCTAAGATTTTGAGTCCTGATTCAAAAATCTGAAAAGAAAAAGATAATGAAACAATTAGAAATATTTGATAAAATTAAGGGATTACTCTTAATTTTCTAAAACAATAATATGTGGCTATGTTTTAAAAAGCAGAGAAAATCCTTACCTTTTAGCTATGTAGAGAAATATTCATGGATGGCATGATGCCTGGGATTTAAAATAAAACAGGGGAAGGAGGTTGAGGGCATAGATGAAACAATATTGGCCATGAATTATTATTGTGTCTAGGTGATGTATACATGGGGGTTCATGTGTTTTAAATGGCCACAACTTTGATCTGGTGAAAACAGTTACACTTTCTGATGCTACAACTCATGAACTCTGTATTTTCCCTCTAAATTCTTCTTTAAAACCAGTTAGTTATTTTCTGAGTTCATTGAGCTTACTATTTTCTCCTTGTAATATCTAACCAAACTCAGCAACCAACAACCAACCCATACTATCAATGTCCTGTCTCAAAACTTCATTGCTAAATGCCATGAATACTTTAAGTCTGCCAAGTTACCAAAGGGAACAGTTTTACCATCTGTATCACCACTGCACAACCTGGTGATCACTTCAATTCTGTAAGAATTTCTTTATTTGATCCTAAGACAGATACCACACATTTTAGGCTTTTGCTACAACACTTTCCACATCTGGTACTAAATTATTGCTGCAGTGGTACTGCAGAGAAGATATCACCAAACTCAGTGGATTATATAGTGTTTATTTTTTCACTTATGAGTCTGCAGATTGGTTGATAGGGCTCTGCTTCACCTAGTGCTTTGGGCTGTATTCAGTTCATTCATGTGTTGCATTCTGCAACTTGGACTAAAGGGGAAGAAGCTACCTGGTAAATGTCCTCCTTATGGTAATCACAGAATGCAAGAGCCAAACCTAGCTGCACACGCAGATTTAACCACTCACATTTTGCTGACTTAGGTAAGTCACACAGCCAAGTTCAAAGTCAGTAGAATAGAAAAGTATATGTTACCCCCAAGGAAGTGGAACTGAATATTTTCCAAACAATAATCTATAGTGATCAAAACAGACAAAACCCTTGTCTCTGTGGAGCTTACATTCTAGTAAAAAGGATAACTATAAAGAACTCAGAAATAGGGATAGTGTGGTCTGATAGGACATTCTTGCTCATGTAAGCACATATAAACAAATTTATATCCAAAGATGTCTTATGAAGCACACTTATAATGATAAAACATGAACAATCTAAGTATTCAGCAATCTCAGCTAACTGTGTGTCAATTAAATAAGCTGATGGGGACTCTTCAGCTACTTATTTTGATCAATATGATATTTCTATGGTATGCATTTCTTAAAAAGAATGAGGTTAAGTCTGTATGTATTAAAGAAAAAGGTAAAACTGATTAAGAGTTTTGAGGTATCTCCTAAAAAAATATGACAATATAATCTTTTATTAAATCTACATAAAAGAGATCACTCTGTAAAACTGTTTTTTTTAAGATTTTCTTTTTAGAGAGAGGGGAAGGGAGGGAGAAACATCAATGAACAAGAGAAACATTGATTAGTTGCCTTTTGCACGCCCCCAACCTTGAGACCTGGCCCGCAACTCAGGCAGGTAACCTGACTGGTAATCAAGCCAGCAACCCTTTGGTTTGCAGGTCAGTACCCAATCCACTGAACCACACAAGCCAGGGTTGTAAAGTGCTCTTTAAAAAGTATCTTGGGACTTCTTTCTACATCAAAACTTACAAATCTACTGTATTCTTTAAGGGGCTGTATTGGATGCCATTATAAAGATGGTTCATAATTTATTAGCCTTGAGTAAAGATGATCATGATACTTACCTCATGGCCACAATTATAAAATAGATATGATAGAGAAAGGTCTTGGCCAACTGTCTAGCACATAATTAGTTTTCAACATATAGATATAAATGATTAGCATTTTGCAAATGATAAAAGTGGTGTTACAAATGAATGAACTGAAACAATTTTGTATATATATGACAAAATAAAATTAGATCCATAAGTGCAAGTTATTTATTTAAACTGTAAAGACCAAAAAACTAGAAGAAAATATAGCCAAAGACTTAATGACAGAATGGGAAGAAAATAGAAAGCATAAAAGAAGTCACCTTGGTCCTGGTGCGGCTCAATTTTTTGAAATGTCGTCCCATATACCAAAAGGTTGTGTATTTGATTCCCGGTCAGGGCACATACCTAGGTTGCAGGCTCCAACCCCAGTTGGGGATCCTATAAGAGAGAACCAGTTGATGTTTCACACTGGTAGTGTTGTTGTTGTTCTTGTTGTTCTTGTTGTTTTTAATTTCTAAATCATGTTAATTCTATCACAGTTGTTTCAATTTTTACCCCTTTACCCCCCTCCACCCATCCCACCACCACCCCCCACTCCCACAGTCAATTCCCACTCTGTTGTCTGTGTCCATGGGTCATTCATACATGTTCTTTGTCTAGTC